AAAATGCTTTAGATGTTCAAAGCTGTCTATATTGTGCAGAGTTTATTACCTCAAATTATAAAGCCTCAAATTATAAAGGGGAAAAAATACTTTCTTTTAATTTCAAAATTTCACTGTTCAACAACAGTGTATTTAAATTGAGATTTTTGGTTTGGCAGTTTGCTAAATTGGCCTATTTTGGTTTAATACAGTGAGAAACTTGAACTAAAAAGAACAGAAGAGAGTCAAAACTGTCTTCAAGTTTTCTTAAAATGTAGAGTACCATTGTGTATTTGAGAAGCATCAGGTACTCCAGCTCTCCATTCTTACCCCTGAGCTGTTCTTCTCAGTTTGTGCTCCCTCTCTTCATCCCAGAATTAGCTCAAGGTGGGCACTGGAAAATGACCTTGAGTCTTTCTCTCTGTGACCAGAATGTGGCAATTTCCCTCCATTCCTTCTGTGATGTGAGGAGCATCTCTAAACATGAAAACATCTTGGACTTTATTGGGTTGGCATGGCCAGTATTATTTTCCTCTTATCATACTCTGATTTGATGGGTAATAAGTCACATTAATTTTCCCAAAGCTGAGTCTTGCCCACGATGGTAATTGGTGAGTGATTTCTCACTCCACTTATCTTGACCTTCAACTCTTCCATCTTTTATTTTCTCTGCCCCCCACCCAGCTGAGGAGGGGACTGCATGACAGGGCAGCTGGGGTGGGCACCTGTTCATGGTCAACCCACTACACAGACTGGCATAGGTAGGTGAAAGCTGCTGTTTTTCTTTGCCATCCTGCATTTTAAGTGTGTGTAAAGCTTGATACACGGCAGTCATTTCCCATACCTCATTTCCTTTCTCCACAATTAAGATTTAGGCTAAAGTTCCTTAAACAGCCAAAGGAATTGTTTCATTTACTCAGGATTGCCTCAGCTGCCTGGAGAATTTGCATATTTTTTCAGCTATTATTTCCTGTGGAGGGAAAAAAAGACAGGTTTTATCTTTGTAGTGCCTGCGGCTTCCAGGGCTGTGTAAAAATAACAGCATGAGGAGGAGGAATCCAGAACTTTTACTGCTTTTTGATCAGCCCATCCTTCTTCCTTTCCAGCACAGAGGGTTTTAATGGTAGCACAGTAGGAAAAGACAGTGACGCAGTTTCCATTAGCAAACAGAAGGCATAATTTCTTCCTAAGTGTTTTTCAGAAGACTGTTGCCTACACTAAGAAATAGTGTGAAGATAGACTCTCTAAATGGCCAAGTGCTCCTATGTGAAGTGTTCATTCCAGTAGTAAAACCTGCTCCCAGAGGAGTGTTCGAGGTGCTAGCTGCCTCTGTCTTACCTCTGAACATCCATGGGGCTTTGCTTGTGAGAGTGCAGGAGCTTAAATCTCAACTGCGCCGATTACTTTAGGTACCACCAATGGGGTGAACACGGGCAGGAAAATAATGATACTTGTTTTTAAACTGTGGTAGCTGATGCCATTTAGAATACTCCTGAGACCTGATTCAAGTGTGCCCTGATGTGTCTTTGCATCTATAACTCTGGCATGGATTCACTGTAGGGTCCCTTCATTCAGAATGAAATAAGTGATGCTGTGTGCTTTTTGTGCGTGCCACACTTTTCCCTCTGATAAGGCCAAGTCTGTCTGCACTTGTTGATAGCACTGCATTAACAAAATCTGCAATACAGGTACAGTTTGCATCAGCAAAAGACTTTCTTCCACTGTAACTTTCCCAGCTTCCTAAATGAAATACAAAGTCTTCTTCCATTGGTATAAAAATGTCAGTTAGGATTGTGACTCTTTGAAGTATTATATCAGAAAGGATTTATAGCACAGACCAGGACTTTTAAATTAAGTGTTTAGCTTGAGTATGTTAGATAGGCATTGCTGAAAAATAGAGAAGATTGAAGGGAACAGTTGCTTTCTGCTTTGATGTTATAGTTAGGATGGAATTAACAACTGTATTTTCAGGAAAAAAGTCTGTTCTACAGGCTTGTTTGACTGAAGTCGTGTGTCAGGTTGAAGAATGTAGTGTAGGGCAGGAAGAAGGAATGCCCGTCTGAATTTTGATAAGCATGCCTCTTATTTAGTAAAATAACTGGAGAAGAGTCCTGTGATTTTTCTGTCCCCAGACCACATTTCTCTGTGATTTACTATAAAAATAGCTACCTGACTTAAATGTTTTAGAAATTGGTGTAGTAGTATTTTACTTCCACTTAATGGCAGTTGATGTTTTTTTTCATAGATGCCAAACTTCTGATACCCTCAGTAATGTGAAATGATAGGTCACTCTGGTTCCATGAGTGCTCCTTCTGGCTGGGCTACGGGATGCTGGTGATATCTGCATCTAAAAAGAAAGGTCTAACACAAGGCTCTGTGATTTACAGACTTTTATCCTACTACAGCTCATAGTGGTCACAATCTCAGGAGCAGCTGGAAAAGAACAGAGCTGTTCTGTCATCTGGAACCTTGACATATTTTTAAACTTATTATTTTTGATAGTGCTTGAAAAGTTATAATGTAGTGATCAATAAGCTGGGATGCGTCCTAGAAATGCAACATTTTATCTGACGCAACTAACTATTTCCTGTGCTAACTTTGCAGGCAGCAAAGTTAGATAGCATATAAAGGCCTTTGCTTCTGGAAAACATCATGTTTGAAAAATAAATAAGTACAAACATCTTACAAAAATAGATTTTTATTATTACAATAATTTAAAAGAAGATTTTTTAATTTTTTAGCGAGGAGGAATAATTCTTCAATCTGTTTGCACTGGAAAGCTGAACCCTGCTCAAAGATCACAAGCGCCATCAGTCAGAGGGAAGATGGTGAAGCACAGAGGTGCCAGAGGTCAGAGCCTAGGAGGACTCTGCTGTGTACTGGCTTGGACATTTTCTGAGTTCCAGGTTATCAGTGACAATGCATAAAAATATTCCCTGAATGGAGAAGCACTGCAGTTTGAGTGGACCCAATCTTGGAAGTACTTGTACGTATTTATTGTCACAACAGCTCAAGTATGACGCACATTTGAACAAATGCAAGATCAATCCAGCAAACTGCAGCCTGTCCCTGCTTCAATCAAAATACATTAGTTTTGTCATTAATGAGAGTAAGAAAGCTCTTGGAATACTGTAACCTTCCCTACATTAAAAAGAATCCAGTGGCAAAACCATTGCATATTCTTACAAATTTCTCGAGCCCTAACACAGTTCAGTTTCTAGTATTTAAAGCACCGTCTTTACAAAAATGTGACTAAGCAAGTCTAATATGAATTGTTGTAAATCTCCTTAATTTGGAAGGCTTTAAATTCAAGGATCATCTTTTAATTTTCTGCAATTGCTGTTTGCATTCATCTGTTTGAAACAAAAATAAAAGTTCGCAATATATTCTTAATATCAAATGATAAAGGTTAACAATTTGAATTTCTGAAATGTTGTAAGCCAACCCACTGGGGTACCTAATTACGTACTTCTACTGGATCCCAAGTTATGAGGCTGTAATAGAGTTATATAATTATCCCACAATATAAAAATTATTATGGGTCCTAATCCTACACTAGGATTTCATTTGGCCTACTAGGAGTTCCCAGGTCCCCCAGAAATTCAATGAAATTTAGGTGGGCAGCTCCAGTGTATTCATCCTTCATTCCTTGTTACGTCAGGATCAGGATACCTAGCGAATATTTTGGAGAGCAGCATTTGAGTACGCTTTGAGACACCTTCACAGAGTCTGATTTTTCATGGGGAATGTACCTAACACTCAAAATCAGAGCTCTCCCTGTGACTCAAGCTGAGTTCTCAGTGCTAAGACTTAAGAAATCTTTTTTTTTTCCTGCCTCTTTGCCTTGATTAATTTCACTGTCTGAAATACAAAACTTCATCATTGTGCTTACATGACTGCATTAAGCCTATTAAGTACAATTCAGCCATTTCTAAAATTGTTTCAACTATTGCAAAGTATAGATAATCTCCAAATAAAATATTCTAAATTATAAAACAGAGCTGAAAACCTTGTGTGTATCTTCCTCATAATCTCAAAATATAAAAGCCAAAGCAGTAAAAGGGTAAGGGTGAGTCTTTCAGTCTGTTCTCTCAAGCTGATACTCCCCTCTGCACTCTATTTTCTTCATTTAACTAAATGTGAAGCTTTCTGTAAAAGCTGCTAAATCCGTTCATAAAATTACTGAGAACCCTTTTTGTGGGTAGCTATCTCTGAGAATTCTAAAAGTTTCTCTATCATATGATTTAATCCAGCACAAATTTCAGGTTTAATCTCTGTGATCCCTTGCATTCAGTCTCTGAGTAAGACATACAACTTTTTCTACCCTTTTATGAAAAGAATCTGAAAATTGAGGACATTAAAGAAAATGAAAACATAGCAGAAACTATTGTGTGTAGCAACTGCCCAAACTTTTCTCATCCTTTCTTTGCTGACAGGTTATTTTCTATTACATCTCACTAAGCATTTTGAATAATTTCATCTTCAAACCCCATTCTTCAAACTATGGGAAGTAGACAAAAGCTTTAGAACAATTTCTGTATGCCCTCCATCACTACCGCTGCCTGCCTGCAGCCCTTGATTTTAACAGTGTTGTCACTTTAGTCATCAGTACAAGCAATTATGCAATACAGAAAATACCTGACAGGAGTTTACTGTCAATTACACTGTTTGCAGCAGGCATAATCACCTTTTTGTTTCCTTCTTGCAGTGCTTTGCACCAAGTCTTTACTGTTCACTAGAGGACCTCAGCATTGCTGTAGTGAAGTACCTTGTGAGGAACACTCAGGTATCAATGAGAGTCACAAGGATGTGTTTTCTGTTTGCTGTCACCATTCAGTCTATCTTAAGTGTCAGGCACCAGCCTGACCTAGGAATCACTGCAGTCAATGAACCTAAAGAAACTTATTCACTAGATACTATGAATGATTGTCCTGGGGTGACCTGCATCTGACCTAAGGAATCAGAGATGCACTAAATATTCACTGAAAGGCACCACTTGACTTTTCTTCTTTCTATTTTCCTTTTTTTTTTTTTTTTTTAACCAGTAAATTTCCCAAGGCTAACAACACAGGTTTCATTTCACTGCACTAAAGCAGTTAGTGTGGAGACATATGTGGATTTCAAACCCGGGGCACTTCCATATTGCTACAAACTGTTTCTACCATATGAAGCAGTTGTGTAATTCATTTGAAAATTATAACTTCTTTATGTCACAGTACCTGTTTCTAGTGTCTCCTCTTTTCCTTCCTGCATTTCCATATTTATCTAAACATACCTTCTTCTCTGGGACCAGTCACTGGTACCACCACATGTGGTATGTTTTAAGTTGAAATGTTTCCTTAAAAATTAAGCCCTTTTTCTTTTCCCAATCCAATAATCTCCAATGAGAAAAAAGGTTCTTCACAAAAGAGGCTGTGGATAAAAACAGACAATCAAAAAAGCTCAAGTTTTAAGAGGTGTCTGTGTTCACTGAGATAACAGTTCAGGAACAACCCAGCCTACAGTATCCCTGATGACTGAATTTGTCCTTTTTCAAGGCTAATTCCCTTCATCTTGAATATTATTTGCTAAATATCATGGAAGAAAAATGTAATTTCATCTGTGATTTGTACTTGTAGGCTGAGTCTTGATGTGTGACGCTTTGACAAAAGAGAAAATTATGGGGTAATAGAAAAGCAGGCTCTTCACCATGTTAATCGGAATCAGTCTTCCTGTTAAATGTTTCCTCCCTCAGGTCTTGACAAGGTGATGGCTTTTGGGGAATGGAGGTTCTCAGTATCATCTGTGTGTTGGATACCGTGGCTTCTGTCAATTGCTTGTGAGCTCGCTTTGCTTGCAGCAAACCTAACAGATGATTATTCTGTCTGCTTCAGAGTCTGGTTCAACAGGCCCTTCCCCTCCTAAGCATATGTCATCTTCCCTAGATAATTAGATGGTACATATCCCTTCTGACCTTTTGCTTCAGCTAGCCACCATTCCTTATTGCCACTCAGGTCGGAAAAGCGAAGTATCCTCACCCTCTGGTACTCCTGAAGGCTGAGTTCTTCATCACTTCTAGCTTGAAATGCATAAACAGCATAGAAGACCTGAAAAAGGAAAGTCACATAAACAAAAATCAGAACTGAAAAGTGTAGCCACATGTTACTGTGCAGCTGTGAATCAGTAGGAGTTCTGTATACAGAAAACATGTTGTAACATGTACCAACCAGCCTTCAACTACATGGCCTGCAATTTATAGACAGGGCCAAAATAAAAACTAAAATGGAAGCATCTGGGGAGCTCCACATGACGTACAAACCAAGCTCCAAGACCTCATCACCTTACACTAATAAGGTTTTCAGCTCACGCCGAGTGTCCATGGATTGGATGAAGAATTTTTCAGCAAGGTTTCCTCATGGAGAATCACCTTTCCTAAAGCTGCTGTATTCAAATGTGGCACATGGGTCATTTCTGTGCCTTGCTGATCAGCTTTTTTGTCAACAGTAAGTTGAAAAATCCCCCAAACTGAGCTATTTTATAAGTTCCTGCTCCATATGAGAACCTTGAGGCATATGTGGGATGGGATAATGCAAGTGTGTCTTCTGTGACACAGGACTAAAATTCACAGTTAACTGATTGTCTTTCCTACCTCACAGCTATTTAAGAGCAGAGAATAATGAATTCCTATGTCACACTGACAGATTGGTCTCACTCTTTTCTGATGTGAAAGGAAACCATTTAAATTAGTAGCAGTATAATTTTAGATTTTAAATAGGAACAACAAGAAGACAGGCACAGTGTGTATCATACTTACATGCTGATCATCCACACCCTGAAGTGCACCAGTCCCTGTGCCATTAATTGTGGGATTTTCACAGAAGTAAAAAGGTGAGCTGCTGTCACTCTTCTTGTATCCTGGACTTCTTGTGCTGCTGTCAGTAGGGGGCCGTGAAGAGACAAAGAGGCTGATGTCATCAAAATCATCATCACCAAAGCCATTTTCTGCAACATCCTTCTGTGCTTTGGCTGGATTGTAAGGCCTCAGGAAGGAGGAATACACGTACCCTGTGAGGACTAGAAACCAGAATAAAGAGACAGAAAATAAATAAACAGCAGAACACTGCTAAAATAATTTCAAAACCAGCCGTTTTATGCAGCTGCCAGTATGACAGAGGCAAACAGATGGGGCCAGAATGAAAAGAAATCAATATCCCAAAGGGAAGCTGTTATTGGGATATTTGTGCAGAGAACTTACTTCCTGTGTCAACAAGCCATCTGCTTGTGCTTCCAAAGGGGTCTTTTTGCTCAACAACAGCCACCAGCTCTCCTTCATGCAAGTCAATATCTAATTCCTGTGCGGCGTTGCACTTGCGCTTAGCCTGGTACAGCAACTCAGTGCCGTATGTGGACAGCAGCTTGGACCTGTGGTCCTCTGTTTGGCGTGGGGACTCCAGCTGAAAACAAATGAGTAAAATTCATCCTCAGTACTGCTGGGACCATTTCCAGATAAAAATCTGTGTATGCTGCATGTGGCAACTGACCCAGCGTTTTTACACACAGACCAAGGAGTTACTTACACGGGCACCAAATCTCCTCTGAGTATGCAGTGAGAACCTGTCCCACTGCTATATTAACAGGTGAGCAATAAAGGGCAGATTTTAAAGAAACACAGGAATTTCACTAATTAAAGACCTCTTAGTCTGTCCTCTGCTCTCAGAGAGGTGGTGTTCCGTATGTGAACTGTCTCCTGCTTAATTGCTTTTCCGTAGCTATGACCTTTGTGTTCCTATGTAGTATCACAAAAAAAGCATAATCCAAAAATGGGCTGAGGTGTCCTAAGACCACATAACAAGTTGCATGACAAGGCATTAGGCAAAAAAAATTTTAGAAAAAAAAAAAAAAATCAGTGGTACCCAAACTATCTATTTTTTGTGTTAAATTACCTCTCTAAATGAGGGCAAGATGCCATTAACTGCTGGAAGCATATTCATTTCAGGGTTTGGTTAGAGGGCAGGGACAGGGGTGCTGCACATCAATGGGATCTTAACATACCACAGAAACAAGAGCTTCACTGTGCCTTCACTGATGCTGAAAGGAATTCCACAACTGCCCCAGCCTCTCCTGTAAACCTGCACCCAAGTCCTTGTTTTACTGTAAACTCCTACTCCTAAAACCTCCAGAAACATCTGATAAGATTGGGAACACATATTTCCTGGTGGATTTTCTAAATCTTCTGCTGTGGGTGTGTATGTTTGTGCACATATGTGTAAACACCAGTACACATAACCACAGCTGAGCATAAGAAAAAGAAAAAAATCTTCTGAATTAGAAGACCAAGATGCACTATAAGAGTATTCAACAAAAGAAGTTACCCAAGTTTACATATACCTTAGCCTTACCATGTGCTTAAAGGCCTAAGGGCAATTAGAGGTAATTTCAAGGGGATTTTCAAGATATTAACATGCAAAAAAGTGAAAAATCTTCTGAAGTTACTGTTCAATGGAAACTTCACTCCAACAACCTGATTGAGAATCGCAGTGATGAGACAAAGCCCAAACATGTAGGTAGCATAAAAATAGACTTGTTTCAAAAGTGATCAAAAGAGGATGCTTCATACACAATTTGGATGTATGGTACTCACCGGAGAAGGAACAGGTTTCTTTCTTTCCAAGCTCAATTTTCTCTCAATAAAGGTTGCACTGCTGTTTTCTTTTACAAAATTCAGCTTGTGAACCTCCTCTATCAATTGATTCTGCACTTCACAGATGCTTGAGGAGGACAGCTGCAAACACAAATGTGGGTTAGATCTCATGTGCAAAATGGTAGGGAGATTGGAGAGAGCAGATTTAATTTAATTGGCTGAATGCTAGGAGTCAGGAAATGTGACAAGTTATGCCTGTTTTCTGCAGAGCCCATAAGCAGTACACTCTCTACATATGAGATGTAAAGAGAAGAAAGGTCTTTGCTTAAAGAAAGTTTCTAGTAGATGCTATTACACTTAAAAGACATAGCAATTGAAGTTAAATCATTAAAAATATTCTAAATGGTGATGAAAATGAAGAGCCTTGCATTTATGCTACTGAGCCACCTGCTTTCAGATGCAAATGGGTATCTCAGCAGCGATCAGAGTGGCCAATGTGCTACAAGGCTTGGAGTAGTTTACCCCACAGCTGTGTGTTTGTGTAACTGAGAGCTGCCAACAGGTTAAAAATTGTTGGGTAACTGAGTCTCTGTCTGTGGCACTGGATAAGTGCTTTTCATCTATGCCTAATACCAAATGCATTTGCTGATGTATACAGGAAAATAAAAGAAAAATAAGGTAATTTTTTGTAGCCAGAGCCTCACAGAAAACAATGCCCAATACAACAGCTTTCAAGACACGAAAGCATCAAATTACAGGGATGAAATTTCTTCATACAGAAAAAGCCTTCATTTTCCCATTAAATACTACAGCTCTATGTTTTGATCCTGACCTTGTGTGCTTAATTTTTCAGCTGCTCTTTACTATGATGTGCTCTGTTCCAGCCTTGATGGAAAGGAATACTCGAGAATTGCCTTACTAGAGTGTGTTTCCCAAGCAGCCTTGCTTCAGTTCAGGTGAGTGGATTTGTATGTGTGGAAGGCATTGCTGCAGCTGTGTTTCCCAGGGGGTTCAAGTCCTCCAAGCAAGGCTATTCCTTACTGCCGAGAGATAGCTGCAGGAGTCTCTGCATCATATTTGGGTTTTAAAAAAAAAAAGCAACTTGATCTTCATAAAAATTATTTCATGATATCTCCTAACTTGTTTCTCTGTTGTAGTCATCTGTGAATCTGCAGGTCTAGCAGCAAAGGAGGTGTCTATGTACTTTCTTATAATTTCCTGTGTTTTCTGGGCTAGTCAGGGTACATGCTAAGAAATGCTAGCAGCTATCTTCTTTTTGCCTTCCTGTAATATTCTTGCCATTACCATCACTGCAGCAGCAGGAACAGCTCCATTAGGACCATTCTCGATGAAAAGCACAGGTTCGACAAAAGTTCAGAACTTAAGTTTCCCAAAACTCACTCTGGAGTGACCTTACTGTGGCCTTCAGTACATAAAGGGTGCCTACAGGAAAGCTGGGGAGGGACAATTTACAAGGGCAGGTAGTGACAGGACAAGGGGGAATGGCTTTAAACTGAAAGAGGGCAGATTTACATTACTTTACTGTGACCCTGGTGAGGCTCTGAAATGGCTCCTGCAAGGAAGCTGTGAGTTCCTTATCCCTGAAAGCTTTAAAGGCTGGGTTGGATGGGGCTTTAAGCAACCTGGTCTAGTGGAAGGTGTCCCTGTTAATGGCAGGGGAACTGGAACTAGATGATCTTTAAGGTCCCTTCCAACCAAACTGTTTTAGTTCTGTGAACTTAATCTTTACTGAGCTTGCAAAGGAAAAAAAACCCAAATCTGACTGTGCTCAGCAGTTCAAGCAAAATCACAAAATCAGTAAATCAGTGTAGCTTTGTGGATATGTGTCCTACATAACTTTAGCCAAAGCATACAGAAAGAAAAAAAAAGACAAATTAAGCTACACCTGTTTCTAATGTACTTACCGGAACAGGCACCATGACAGCAGAGTTTGATTGAAGAGCTGCAAACATAATATTCCTGAGGAGGGTGATGAAGCAATGTAGACAGTTCAACACAATCTTGTTGGCTGTTCTGTTGAATACCTGAAGTTCTTCCACTAGCTGTGCATTTAGAGCCTCATAGTCTTTCTTTGCCAGGTCCAGCTCTTCTCCACCTGACCTCTGAAGGTAGCTGTTGTAGTCCAACAACTTGTCATAGCGCTTCTGGATGAGCTTCTGAGGGCCTGGAAACAGGGCTTGCAGTGCTGAGAGAGGAGTCAAGACAAGCTTGTCCAGCTGAGCCATCTGGAAAATATAAACCAGACCTACTCATTGCCTTATTCATACAGTCCTTCAGATGCCATAAGGGGTTGAGCCTGATGGCAGCCCATCAAGCAATCTGTTAATCACTCTTCAAAGCATTGCTGCCAGAGGCAGTTTCAAGCAGGGTCCAGCATGGCTTAGATTCTTAGAAGTTTTTCAGCTTACAGTGTCTGCTAATGGCAGTGGTCCCTTGGAGCATGCAGCCTCAGGTACTGCCCCTGGGGAGCTGACACTGGGGGAAAACAGCAAGGATTGGTCAAGTGCTCAAATAAAACTGGGATTTCCTTAGCTGGAAGGCCCACACCAATATACAGTCTAAAGCTAATGAGGTCTTATTAAGTGGCAGCCTTGAATTCTCTCAAAACTGCTTTTCTTTTTTGCTGTAACTCAATTCCTGTTTAAGCAAACACAAACAATCACTTGATTTGATTAAATTAGGTTATGCTTGTTGGTTTTATATCTAGTAATCAACAAAATTAGACACCTGGTAAAAAAACAGTCTTCCTCAGACTTTTCCATTAGTCTCTAATTGTCTCAAGGGATTAATATTGCATGAAATAAAATTAATTTTTTGTAAGTCATTTGTTCAAATACAGCACAGGCTTGTAGTGAGTGAAATTCATCATCATATTAAAAGCTCCTGGACATTCTGTGTGAATTAAGTTGTTGGGTTGGATGTGAGAATAAAAAAGCAGCTGCCTCTGAATTCTCAAAAACATACCAGAGTTGAGGACAGATTCATTTTAGCCCCAGACTTGCTCTCCAAGGCCAAGATGATGTACACTGGCTAAATAGCTCCTATTTTATTTCTACCTGAAAAACTGGGCTGTGTTTAGTGAACCAACTTTTGATACATTAAAGAAAACAATTCTTCCAAACTGCTGGACCTGACCTCTGAAAAAGAAGCTACTGGGAATTTCTGCCCTGAAAATTTTCCAAAAAATCTAATGAGAGAGGAAGGTATACATTAATGACAAATGCACAAAGGTAAAAAATACCAAACAATTAACCTGAGCCCATTGCTGAGATTTCCCTTGATAATAACCTTTCAGGAAAACATTTGAGGAACACTGTGGGCTGTTCAGTGAGAACATCTACTCATTGTGTAATGTCAAGCCAAGGGTGTTTTAAAAAACCCATGTGCAGAGGAAAGGGAATCCTTGTCATCTTGTGCATCCAAGTCACAGAAATAAACAGATATTAAGTATAAATTAGCAATTGTTAATAAAAATGTCCACAGTTAAAATAAATAAAATTAAGTTGTTAGGGTTTTGTTTGGGTTTTTTTTTTTAATTACATAAACCTTCAGCATAGCTAGATCATGAAACAATAGATGTTAAAATTTCTTTTCTGAAAAGAAGTTTTCTGTTTCATCTATTGTGGAATTACTTCTACTTTTCTTTTATGTTTCTGAATATGGGGGCAGCTTCCATATTGGACACACTCACCACAGCAATGATAGAGAGGTGTTATTTCACACTTTAAGCAATCATTCACTGTAAAGACATCGAAAATATCATTCTGATTACTGAGATTAATTTTTCAGATACTTTTCACGTGTGGGAATTTCAAAGGAAAGGAAATACATCACCTTTACTTCCCTTTCATTATCCTGGAGGTTGTAGTCTGTCAAAGAGCCTTCTGTTTCTTGGCAGACTCTGTTTTCAGTGTTTTGGAAAGGACTGAATGGCTGTATTTGAGTCAGCACTAAACCAGGAAAGTATAAGAAACCTTCCACTTCTGAATTTTTCCAGCTTGAGCAGCTGTTTGAAGAAGCAGCCTGTCCCATTTTGAAGAGACATTTAAGTATCTTATGAGAGCCAGGCATTAGTGTTCATTTTAATTCTGAAAACAGAAGACTAGTTGAAAGACTATTACTATTTTTTAAATTGCTTTATTAATTACTATGGGCTATATTTGGATTTTTCATGGTTTCTCTGTATGAAGGATTTGACAGCACTATGTTAATATCTGGACTTGATGATCTGAGAGGCCTTTTTCCAGTTAATAAATCTGAGATTTTACAGAGCTGTGATGCCAGGACTTAACAGTACACAAGCACGGTATCAATCACAAAAGTCACTCAAACTGCAAGTGCTGGTAACAAAAGTAGCAAGCCAACAATCTGCTGCTCTTTTCTGAAGGTCAAGTGAAACAAACACAGGATTGTTCAGGTGATGCAAATTTAACACATACAAATTTAAAGATTTTAGTATAAGCTCAGGAATTTAGCTTGACAAGTTTTCTTTAGTTCTTCTAAGGAAAACACAATGCATTTGTATTGTATTTTATCTTAGTTCTTATAGAAATTCAACCAAAACCACCACTTATCTTTCCAAGGAGATTCCTAAACTGGTTTTTTTTTTCTCTTTTCTATCCTAGTCTTCCTCACATACAGCTGTTTCCTCAGACATACAGATAGCTGTGTAACACTGGACATTGCATTAACTTACAAAGTCTTCACATAAATTCGCAGTGTTCGTTTGGTTTTCTGAACAGTCATTGACTTGGTCATCTTTATCTTGCAGGATTTCCTGAAGCTCAGTTATATTCTGGGCAGCCAGATGTACAGAATCCTAAATGAAAAGATGGTAGGAAGATGAAACTATTACAATCCATTTTAATATGCTGCATTCATTCATGCACCTACTGCAATAATACTGATGAAATCTGAAGTATTTTCCGTCTCTGGCACCTGTGCAGCTGCTGTGCAGTTTCCAGTCATTGTGAGGTTGTTTACTGTGATAATATTTTCCTGTGCTTTGTCTATTTTCAATGCAAACTGCTTAAGAATCAAGTTGTTGATGTTCAACTGAAAGAACTATGCCCTAAACTAATGAATATCCCACTGTAAGTCAGCTACTCTTCAGTGAGAAGCCAACTTATCATGCATCCTCAAAAGTCTCTTCTGGGGGACTAAGCAGGACTAGAGTGGTGTATTTCAGTTACTCAGAATTTAAATCTGAATGATGTGTGGATCCGTTTGCATAAGGAGCTGTCAGTGCCATTCCAGGCACCAACCCTGGTTGGCTGAGCTCCCTGGCCTTTCCTGTTTGCAGAACCAAACAAGGTGCGTTTGTGACAAGCCCCTGCCAGCTGGTTATTGATCTTGCCTGTCTCTCAAACAACCTCCCTGCCTGGCTAGGGCACACTTACACTTTGACAGGCCTCATGCCATCTACAGATCTGGCAAGTAGTCTGTGGGAGGGGGCAGGCTGATGAATCACAAGCCAACCCTCATCTTTGGAGAGGAAGGCTGAAGCAAAGACGTTTTAGAGAACTCAAGCACTCTGTACATCTAATGCTAGCCCTCAACACAGCCTAAACATGGGAAAAAGGAAGGAGTCCTTCCATCCAGAATATGTAGTTCAGGACATTTTAATTAATGTGGCTGCAGCTCAGTTCTTCAATCTTTAATGAGAAGCAGCTGGTGCTCCACTGCAGCAGATGGGGTGATGGCTTCACACAGAGATTGAAAGTCCTGACTGTGCCACCAGACAGCACCTTCTTCTCTGCACTGCACCTGTGGGTCTCCACAGAACCTGCTTCTGTCAGGGGAAAAATGCAAAAGAGCAGGCTTCAAAACTTCTTTGCCATGGGCACAGCTTATTTATTTAATATTCTGATGTAGACAGCCCTGCTTATAAATAATTTGGTGTTGCCCAACCAGTGGCAGAAAGGTGTGTCAAACTGGTTATGGCCAGAGTCTATGTGACCACAGATTGCAAAAAGGCCCATACCCACCTGGAGATGTTGCGAACACAGCGAAATGTTCTTCACACACAATTTCACAGTCTTCTCTAGACTTTGAAACAACTTTTCTTCCTTATTAAAAGTTCCATCTTTCACCTAAAATAGACATTTGCACTGTTATTTTGGCAGCCCAAAAGAGCCTGGCTAATGAAAGAAACATCCAGAGCACTGCTAGAAAAATCCCTGAACTCCTCCCTTTGAAAACAGATCAACCCCTAATTCTCCCAGGCTCCATCTGTAATTCAAGAAAAGTCAAAACCACTGGGCAACACGGCAGAGAAATTCATTTTTCATCCTTGTGGAAGCAGGGAGTTCCTTTACTTCAAGCCCACTGGAGTGTGCCGACAAAACGCTTCTTTTTCCTGTGTGCTTTTGCCCCGCCTGAGGAAAGGATGGAGGAAAAGAAAAAGGAAGGGGGAAAAAAAAAAAGTATTTGTGAGGAAAATAAAAAAGTAAATAAATTTATTTCGGAGTCGTGGCCGCAGCCGCGGTGCCGGGGCGCTCTCCCGCAGGCCGGCTGTAGATGGAGCTCTTATCCCAGAGCCTTTCCTCTGGAAACGCCAGGAACGGCCTCGGGAAACTTCTTGATGCCAGCGGGGAACACCCTGAAAACGCGGTCATTTCTGCCCGTCTTTTCCTGCAGGGCCTTCAGAAATCTCAGGTCACGACTTAGTGGTTTTGCCGTGAGGGTCTCAGGGCGTTTCAAGACGTGAGTTGGGAACTTTCTCCGTCTAATGAAGCAGGAGAGACGGCTGAATCTCTAACAGATGCACTCTGATGCTAAAATGATCTTCAAATGTCTTAAGCTTAATTAGAAACAAAACAAAACAAAACAAAAACAAAAAACCACAGTAAACCAGAAGTTTCTAAATGAAAAAAAAAAAAGGGGGGGAAAGAAAAATCACATATCCTCCTAATCAAATTTAGTTCTCTTTTTCTCTGACTTTATGGCCTTTCTGTTGTCTGTCACATTCTGAATACAAAAATTTCCACTGTATAAATAAATGAACAGAAAAAAAAGTTATTTGTGGATGGTTTGGATCAGAGAAAGAGGGGAAACACTGATAAAAAACAAACCAGGAAAAAATGGCATGTATCTTGTAAAGTCACACCTAGAAAGGCAAGTGACCTTGTATAATCAGCCATCTCATGCAGTGAGGTATACTCGATATCACTTTCAAGGTCATTTGTAATTGATTTTCTTTGAGATTTCAATTTAAGCTTTCCTGAAAATGTTTATCCTGCTAGGTTTTGAATTACAGCTTTGAAATTATGAAGGAGCATTTTACTTTTGGCCACCCAACACCCATCAGACTCATCACTGAGTTCTTTGTCTTCACAGTTTTGATGGTTCCAGGTCTTTGCACAAACCCTGTGGTCTTTCCTAATTAGAGATATTGCTCATCTTCCTTGGTGGATTCCAAACCTTTATGCTATAACATGACCAAGATGGACTGAACACATTCTTGGCCCCGACAATAATTGTTGCCAGGGTATCCGCAAAATGCTGACCTCAGGCTGAGTTTCACAAAACTACTGCTGACTTCCTCTCTGCTAAAGAAGTTTGAGAAACTCTTGTGTAAAAAAGGAAAAGGTGGAGAACACATTACATTATTTTCTATTTCAATCACAAAGCTCTTTCCTGTCTTCTGTGACAGTCAGAAAATGACTTTATAAATTAGGCAGGAAAAAAACAGCACCACAAACTCCATTTCCATCACATTTTGAAAAATGCAAATGTGCAAAAGCAGAACTGAAGGTATCAGTGCAAATCCGCAGTTGGATGGGTAAGTACCTGAGGTTCTCCCCTCGTCAGTATTTTCAGATGGCTGGTGACCCTCTTGGATTTCTTGCTGATGGAGTGAATATTCAGTCGGGAAAACTTCTCTTTAAGGGTTTCATCATCATCATTCTTCCTATACTTCAGCACTGCAGACAGAGACTTTCATTACATTAGTAGTCTGTATTCGCAGGACTTTTCACAGGGACAGGCACACAAATATGAAACAATTTGAGAGCAGACACTTTGATGTCATTTGGAGTAATCTTGTGTGAAAATGCTCAAGAGGATGAAAACCCCATTATCAACACTAACTTTGGGAAGAATGAAGTTAGGGCTTCAACCTGGCAAATCTAAAAAAAAAAATTGCTATTAATATATCTTAATTATTAGCAGAGTTTGCAACTGCATTACAGACACTGTAACATGAATTCTTTCCCTTTTTTCATACTGGAGCTACCAGTCAGGTAAGATAGGTGGCTGAGGACAAGGGACATTAAGGCTTGTTACCCTCTTGAAACTCAATGTATTACACAACTTGGGTGGCAGCAGCCAAAACTGATGTAGTGAAATATCTGGAGCTGAATCATATCTTGTAATGGCCAGCTCAAACCTACAAAGAAATAACTTACTGGGCTCCTTTCTTACCTAAATCTTTCCTCCTTTTAAGTTCATTGATGTTCACATTAATGTTTTTCATAGTTAAAAGGGCCTCTTGTAGTGCCTCGTGGTCAGGGTGAGAAGCAGGAGTTGAATTCAAGAGCTCATGGAGTAACAAAGGATATTTCATCAGCCGTTGCACTGGTTTGATCAATAGGGATCCCAGATCCATCAGATTTGGCTTTCCTCTGTAATTTACACCAAAATAATTGTCACAAAATGAGAAATTCCTTGAATTGCAATTACCACTCCAGTCAAAAAATAAGATACATCTGTGAGGGAACAGGGGTGTTGTAAACGAAACCCTCCTGTCACCCCCTCAATGAGAAATACACCCCAGGTCTCTGAATTTTTTGTTCTTCTGTTCTTCAGACTTCACAGACTATTGCTTAGACATTACCTCTGAAACTGTCCTACTCAGTCTAAAGGTGCATGTGGCATAACTCACACATCACAGAACCCAGGAAGGGACATGTAGGTGGAAGAACAAATAACAGGAAGTTTGAGAAATGCATGTGAGCAGGACTGTTACATCCTGCTCTGGGCCCTCGGGCTTAAAATTGCAACATCTCCAGGCTGTGAGTAACTGGGATGCCTGTTCACAGTGCATCCCTTCTCACAACACCCCTGACTTGGCACAGTGACCCTTAGGCTTTACAGCCTTTCACTGGTGGCTTTTCTCTGCTGGCTGCCAGTCAGTTATTTCTAATGATGCCTCAGCTTCCAAAGGGTACCAAATCTGTCCTGGGGAAATGCTGAACACACAGGATATTCACACAGGCTTGATCCAACCTGCTGGAAGACTCCTTTACATAAAGGGAAAGCAGGTGACTGGCCAGGGTGGCAGAAGGATGAGAGAAGGACAGTCCCAGCTTCCAGCATGGGCACAGGGATGCTCTGTGGCTCCAGGCTCAATCCCTGCTGGCTGGGCAGGGGCAGCAGAGCAGCATCCCAGGCATTCAAGTGGCTGAGGCCATGAAGGTCCCCCTGAGCTCTTGAGCCCCAGCCAGCTGAACTCATGCTCCAGCCCTGCTCCAGACAAAAGCCTTCACTTACACTCTCCAGGCTGGAATGGGAGAGACTGTGCAGTTTGTGGGCTGTCACAACAGCCGCGAAAGGAACAGGAAAGGAGTGAACCACATGTGTGCTTTCATTACTTTCCATGTGGCTGGTAGAAACATGAGGTCTCCCCAGGACGGGTAACACTAGGTGGCCAAGACCTGGGCCAGCAACTGCTGACGTTCCAGCAGCAGAACAGACATGTCCTCAACCTCCCCTCATGACAGCACACTCCTCAGCAAACCAGGCACAGCTCCAGCAACAGCTACCTGGCACCTCCCCATTGAAACTTAACATGAGCTGCTGATAAGAGTGGGGAAGGCAATAAAGCAGAGCAAGCTTTCCATTTGCATGCCCAAAAAGGCTCATTTGGAGCAGGAAAGGTTTTACCACATTAACTATGCAAGAGTTAAGGGTAGACAAAGAAGGATTTCTGCATATGGAAAGATGAAATAACACAATGTAGAAGGAAAGTACAAAAAATAGGGAACAGCCGCATGGTTTTGCAGGCTGACATCTATTGTTTTGTGCAACAGAAAGCATAAAAGAAAAAAACTCCTTCATTCCTACTTTTAGATGTGTAAAAAGTACAAGAGCCAATCCTTACATGCTGACTAATTAACTAACAATTTGAATGCCTTTGAGAAGAGACATCTGCATATTTAAACCATCTCTCTCAAACAGGCATTATCTGTAAAAAAGTTCTGCATGAAAAAAAATTAACAGTAGATGCCTTTTAAGGCTTCTTCATGTCCTGAAACCTTCTCATCATTTAAATTCCCCTCATTTCCCCTGTATCTTACATTAAATAGAGAGTTGTTTTTCCTTCTTTCAGCTTCTGGCAGCAATAATAAAAAAAAAAAACTTAAATTGTTATTGTTTTCTCTGAAAAGCCCTATGAATGCAAATCTATAAAAGCTGTCTCATGAATGGAAAAATCTTCAAGTGTATTCTCTTTATATACTTGCACTTTGGACAGCTGCCCAAGTGATAAACAGCCCTCTGTTCGGTATCTGCATGACACAGTCTTGCAATATGGTGTGAGAGATAGCAGGTTTGTTATAAGATAATGACTCCCTGGGGCACTAAATGCCACAAAGTTCGACTCATCTAATTCTCCCCAGCAAGATTAGCTGAGATAGCCACTCTCCCTGGATGGGTCCCGTTTGCAATGCACCCTGTTAGGACCCACCGGTGGCTGGGCAGGACACGGCCTTGCCACACGGCTCAAGCAAGGGAGTAACTCTTTGTGACATCTATTGTGCAGAAAATTAAGTTGATAATTAATTTTTGATGCTGCTTCAGCCTTCCCCCAATGCTATTTTGAATTTAGCAAGTATTCTAAGTCACATGTAACTGTACTAATCTCACAGCAAATTATTACCGTAGCACTGCAGTAAATGCAGCTGGCAAACTGCAGTGAGCTTCACGGCGCAGCCTCCTGACAAAACAAAGTCACTGATACAGACACATTCCCACTTGTTTTAAAAGCCCATGGTGCTGAGCTACACAGAGGCAGGTGAGGCAGGGTTTAGTTCCATTTGCTCCTGCTACAAGGCAGCTTGGTCCAGTGGCAAACAGGACAGCCAGTTTGGTACAGCCAAGCTGAGGCTGGTGTGATACTCAGCTGCCAGTTCCGAAATGGTGTGCGGGACTCAGAATCTCGGGCTTCATAGTCTACTATGCATGGCTTTATTTTAGTAAAAGACCTGTAGGGAAAATAATTCATTCACTGTGCCATAAGTCTCTCAAGCAAACCCAGGGAATTCACTGAGGCTGCACAGTTGTTAAGCCAAGCAGAATTTAACCTATTGAGGTGTTAGCAAAGGGCAACACTGTCTGGTATTTATGTAATTGTTTTCTTGATAGTGCTTGAATGAAGAGCAGTCTGGGAGCAGCAACATCACAGACCATTTGGGGAGAGTTATGCTGTATATATATTTATGCCAGTAATCAGATTTTTGGGTGAAGTCCTGCCCAGGGGCTGTTGCCTTTGATTTGCTGCAACCTCTGATTTGCAAGTGATAGGACTTCTTGAGTGCCCTGCCAGTGAGGTAGCCAAGCTCAGGGAGGGTCCCACAGCTAAACCTGCTCACTGCACTCTGCACAGCTTTGTAAGAGTGCTTTTAAACTCAGAAAGTGAGTTGTCTCCTACACTCCACTGGAAACTCTTTGAAGGAGAAAACCAGACATTATATCTATTAGGGTTACACAAGGCAGAGCAGCCAGACTTGTGTGATTCCTATACGTGCTATATATGTGATCCTATACATGTGATCCTCACATGATCATATTGTGACCCTCTGGGTATTTTGTATCTCTTTGAGTCCCACCCCACGCCTTATGGGACAGGAGTACACAAGGATGTCCCGTATCAAAATAAAACGAAGAAAAACTATTTCCTGTCAGAGATAAAAGCTTGAAACCCCAAAAGTAGAGTTTCAACATGCAAGTATTTCAAAGTATATAGTTAAAACATGTAATTGACTGACTGATTAACAAATTCTCTGACTTTACAGGTCTGTTCCTCTCCTGCCGGTATAGACCACACTTCCTCCTCCTCCTTTCTTCTAACATTTTGTCTGGGGTTGTAATCTTTCTCTTGAGTTCAGACAACCCCTCCTCTGACCTCTCACTGCAGGTAACTACAGGCAGTGCTACATTTCAATGAACCCAATCTGCTGGATGTCCAGAAACTGTAGCTGTGGTAAATTCTCCTTTACAGCTTTTCAAAGATGTCACATTTGGCACTGAAGTCCCTTAAAAGCAACTCATCAGTGGCTGGGGGAGTTTTCTGGCTAAGTTGCAATGAGCTTGCTCTTTTCTGATGTTCTTCCAGCTACTCTCTGGGGAAGATCCTGAGGTGGGCTTCTCATGTAGGGCTACTGAAGGGGTTGTGAGCTCATAAAAATAGAAATAGCTTTACCTGAAAGCCTGCCTAATTGTAGCAGGAAATTTGATTTCAAAGACTGATACTATGATGTTGACAAACACTCTTGCAAACCTCAGAGCATTCTGCATATGACCTAGAAAATCCTCCAGGTTATCCTGACACAAAAGGCTTGTGTTCTTAAAACTTCTACCTCTACAGTTTTAAACATACTGAAGATAAATTAAAAATATTTTAAAGATCATTTTACATGTAAAAAAAGGCATTGTACTTACTCTTCTTCATATATCTTTCTGCAAAAGAGAAGAAAACAAAACATGCATTAGATTCCTCCTGAAAGGATTTATACAGATCAGAAGATTCTCAGAAACACTCCAATGACACAGAGTAGCCGTAACTGGACAGTTAATTTAGGTTTATGGCTGCTATGTGTCAGCAGAACTGCACAAAACAGCCCGAGGGTACTGGTGAGTCTGACCCTATAACTTTTTGAATGGACAGCCCCAAATGAGAAAGGATTGTCAGAAACCTGTCTCTGGCTGTGAGACCCAGCCTTGTCCTCACACTGTTAGAGAAGGAAATTTGGATCACCCTGCTAACAGTTCTAAGTAATGTCAAGGAACTGATACAAAAAGTAAAATCAAACATCATTCTTAAACTTTACATACATTTCTGTCTACTCTCTTTAAATAGAAATGTATTTTTAAAAGAAAAAGGATACATTTCAGCCTTTTAGAGTGTAGAGACAATAAAGCTGTTAAGTTTTTTGTAGATTACACAACTGAAACCTCTCTGGAGTAAATACTTTCCTTATGGCATGAATTCATTCACATGCAAGAGAACCAAACATCTCAATCTCTCCATCAGGCTTTCCTGACGTCACATCCTCAGCCACACTTTTTTGCCTGCCTGCACTCTTATCTCCTGGCCCACCAGTGCCCAGCTGAGCATCTGGAAGCTGCAGCTTTCATTGCTTCTGCACTGTCAGCATTTTGTGTGCTTAGGACGTCCCTCTGCCCCTGTAATAGTTGACCAAGCTACTTCAGGCTGAAAGCTGAGCAGGTAGTTGCCAGCATCCTTTCATTTTTACCAGCTGCATTTCTTTGGCTAGGCTAGCAAACAACATCCCCAGTTTGCATAATCACTGCTGAAACACGGGACTCTACAGAAATTGGATTTGCACATGTCTCCAATGCAGATACCTACATTTTGGGATGGATATTTTCCTCTTCAGTCAAAAGGAATAGGAATCTCAACATAGCTAATTAAATCTGATTTGTCTGTACAGATGTGCAGAGTGCCACTCTCAAATTGCTCCTGATATAGAACTTGTTTTTCACATGTCAGATATTACTCAGCGGAGGAAAGAAGCCCCTACTAATGTCAGCTCATTTAAGATTTTTTAAAATGGAACAATATTCTTTCCGAAGGAAAAGAAAAATATTAAACAAGTAAACATTTTTCAATGATAGTCAGCACCAGCCCCCACATTTGTTATGTCTCACAATGGAAAACAGCCTATAACTTATTTGGTAACAATCCTGCGTAGTTTTCTTCCTAAGGCAAATATTCTCCAATGTGCAGCAACAGTTTTAGGTGACCACAGTTCTGAATCTCAGCATGCACTTTCAGGTCTTAATAGTTGAATTCACTGCAATCTTTAGGCACTGGGAAAAATCACAACATAATATACACACACCAGTGCTTTTATCATTGGTTCCTGTTTAAAGGCTAATCAGGAAAGAATAAGACAAAACAAGGCTTCATTGTAAGGAAATCCTTGTCACTTCCTGCTAGCAAAGGCTACAGTGGCTCAGCACAAAATATCCTTTCTCTTCACAAAGCCCAGCTGTGATTTTGGAACAGGAGCACCTCTTGCTGGCTCTGGAATTCAAGTGGCAACATCCACCCTAGAATATACATGGACTTAATTTTTTATCTTTATTTCCTTCCACGTCCCCTTGCCTCAGCAGCACGGATAAATGAACGACAGTAGTGGCTTCTCTTGATCAGTCAGGAAAGATTATTGTAGGCATCAGCACTAAAACACTCACTTAGAGGAAATACCTGGCTATCCATTAGCCTGAAGGCCTGAGTTTATATGAAAATTTATTTCTTTCAACTTCCAGGGTAGCTAAAACCTGAGAACCTTGCATATATACTTTGTTTTGTATTTCATAGCCAGACATGTTGCACAAGATAAGCTTCATTTTCAACATAACCTGTCTTCAAAGCAAACATTTCTCTTTTAATGCTATTAATATTTTCCTCCACCACTCTTTCCAGATTTCACTTGGACATACTTCCCTTAACAGTCTTAACAGATCTCTGCAGATCAATCACAAATTAGGGTGTGGTTGAAATATCTGTTGCTGATGTACACTCCTTTATTTGGGATAATTTGACATCTCTCCTACAAGTGTGTAGCATGGGCCTTTTCTGGAGCTGGAGTCACACCTCTAGTCTGCATCTGTGGCATATTCCCTCCTGACAGCTCTGTGTGATGCTTTTGGGAAAATGAGAGGCAAGGGGATGTATGGGTGGGAAGAGAAGCACTCTCCATGGAGTGGATGAGCTGATCCCTGCCACTAGCTGCAGGAGGAAACTGTGTTGGAAGACAGATGGATCGATTATTTGGCAACATCCCCAGTTCTTTACACATTTTCCTGAGGGGCTGGCATTGGAACCAACGGCACAAAGCACCTCCCTCTGGTGGGAACTGGCAGCTTGCTCTACCACTGTTTCCTCTCAAATTCCCCCATCATGAGGAGTTGGGAACTACACAGCAGCTCCAGATCCTGGGGCCTTGTTGCAGCAACCCGGAACTGCCTGTGCACTCGAGTCGTTCCATAGCAGACTACTCCAATTCAAGGAGCCGATTTGCTGAAGACAGGGGGCAGCAAGTTTCCTGGGAGCTGGAAAAGGTGTTCCCAATAGCCCATGATATGATGCAGCACTTTTTTTTTTTTCTTTGCCAGTATGGGGCACTGAAACTGAGGAAAGAGCAACTTTTCTTGTGCTATTTTTGGCCATCTTAGAGAGAAAGAAATCTAATCATGGCCCCTGGTTTGTCATCTTTTCATGAAAGCAGCATAAGCCAGAGCTCCCAGCAAGCCTTATAAAACTCTGGATTTACAGGGGACCTTTCATCTACATCCATTTAAAATGTTCCCTGCCAGGCAACTGACTATGGACGGAAATCATCATTTGAAAAGATCTTACTTTAAGGACTGTACACAGTCTCTTAAATGCTTCTTCAGTTCTTCATCCTTTTCATAGTATTCCAGCATGGTGTGTGCATCATCATGGTGATAGCAATAGATTTTATATGTGTCTTCTAGTGGGCCTTTAATCTGCAAGAACACTTCCCCTGTTAAGGAGAAAAACAAAGCGTGTCAAGTCAGACAACAGCATCTCAGAAGGAGTTTTATTATTCCACCACATTAGCCGTGAGCTAAAAAGGCTGGCTTCCACTTTACTTCCCTTAGAAATGATCTTGCGTGTTTATGTGCATTATTTATTACATGTATTTCTCAGCTGCTCATCTTTGTCATAGCCAGGCACCATTATATCAGTGCTAATGCACAAAAATTCCCTCAGGGGAAAAGCATGAAATCTCTATACCTCACACCCCTTCAAACACAACCTTCTAATTCACTGCCCCAGCTTAATGCCCCTTCACTGGAAAACACACAGGAGAGCTTTACTAATAAAGGGAGACCATTTTTGTGTCATGGGCTGGCAGGAGGGATGAATGTAAGCCTGTTAGTTTTCCTTTTGACTTTTTATCATGAATATGAACTTAAATGGGTAATAACAAGAATAATGACTCTATCTTCCATTAGCCATTTCAATTTTATGTTTTGCAAAACCCTGAAATGGCAATTGTTATGACCTAGAATAGAGAATTTTCTCCACACGACAGAAGAAAAATCTCCACCCCTCTCCTAATTAAATAAAACCACCGTGGATTACAGACATTTCTATATAATATCTAGGTTTATATACAACTGAAGAGGGAGAACACTCCCATTTCCAGTCCTCCACACCACCATTTTCCCATAAAGAACAGTTGGGAATTTTAGAGGCACTAAAGTAGTCCTACACTCATTTCCCATTTACTTCTAGAGCATAATTCTCTCAGCCTAAAACTCTTTTGTCTGTTTCTGTGCATGTGAGAAATCTGAGCAGGGAAGGCACGCTTCATCTCTTCTGCTGAGATATTAGTTCAGTTCTTACACCCTTATGCAGCAGCCCCCTGATCAGCATCTTTGGAAATGCATATAATAAACAACAGAAATGCTGAAAACTCCGGTCGGGCATTTACTGAAAATTATACCTATGTGGCAACCAGTCCAAAGAGATGTTTATAAACATTCCTGTTGAGTTATAGCAATGATTATTAAAGTTAAAAGCTGAACACTGCATTAATTGGGAGCTCTCTATTCATTCACAGAGCAAGCGCTGAGCTGTCAGGCATCCTGCATGTTTCATCCTGACCGGAGTGTGCTGTTCCATAATACATTGCATTGAACTGCTCCATCTTAAAGTGAAAAATGATTCAGTTACCACAGTAACACAGCCCTGGGTTTTCTCCCCTAGCAGTGAAGGTTAACTGGGCTGTCTAATGCATGTTGGTTTCAGGGTGCAAATAAGGGAAAAAACAATGAGGAGCAAGGACCACCACAGTACATTTTAGTTACTGTAAGGGTGCAGTCAGAAAAGCACCAGCATCCTATGGTTAAATGCTCTTTAGCTGTCTTCTCTGCCTTGTGCTTACTGCTAATGCTGCTTGCTAACAATGCACATTACATCCTGGCTTTCCCGTGAACTCAATGCAAGTCTTTATTAGCCAGCAACGTAAGGGGAAACCTTAACAAGCCTGAACCTTGATCCTGCATGCTTGGCACCCGATTCCAGAGATCATGACCTCTCACAACTTTCACTAACATTAAGCAGAGCTCCTAGTGCTTAGTATGATCTGTATTATGCTAAGCCCTCAAGTGAGATCACGTTTTCAGTAGGAAAAATGCAGTGTAGCCTTACAGCTTGTTTCAGCATTTACTACAGGCTGAAAATTATCTTTTCCAGGAGGAAAGAGTTGAGCAAGTTCTGTTCACTGAAGTATTGTGCCACAGTGACAGATACTTCCCTTGACGCTCAATGAAATGGTTCTGAGCTGTATGGACCAAATTAGGTGAGTTTAGGGCATATCACTGTGGGAGTTTGCTCTATGGACCAAAACCACATTGTATTTGGCACAGCTTTAAAAATACTCTGAGATGCAAATCATATGGAGTATGGTGGTCATCAGTCTCAAAGAGAAATTCCTAGGAGGAAGGCTTGAGTAGCAAAACAGTTTCTCCCTGTTGCTCTCAGTGCTGCTTCCAGTGTGGACAGCAGTAGGAGAGGGAGGAAGGAGTCTAATGGCTAAAGCTAAGTCTTCATATTCCTCCATATACAGAGGAATGTGAAGAATATGTATCCAGAACAGAGAGGAGAAAAACAATCAGGAAACAACTACAAAAGTTACTTAAACTATTTTAGTTCAAATTATGAAATAGGTCTTGAAACCAACCACTCATTAGTCCTCATCTCCCATGCCTTGGCTGTGTGGTGGAGCACTCAAGGTGACACAAACTGGATTCTGTTGAGGATGGTAATTACCAGAAGACACACTCCAAGAGCACATCTTATGCAGTCCAACCATAAGGGGCATCTCAATCCACAGGCACAGGCTACAACCAAGCTGAACTAAGACATCTTTAAGTGTGTACAGTGGATACCATTTCCTTAGCAGAAGCTCTCACTCTGCAAGTCTGCTCCTATTGGACATTACCACTTGTCAATGTGGACATAGCACAGAGGGTGGAGAACATAGGCTAAAATAAGACATGAATATGAGCAACCACATTGTTTTGGTTTCAAAGCAGTGAATTGACAGTTCTTTTGAACCTCACCATGACTGGGTGAGGTCACCTCCAAAATAAGATACTTCAATGCAAGATTTTTAAATACATTAAACATGACAGAATATGATGGGCATGCTTTTTCTATAGACTGGCTTCAACAACTTTTACACTGAAGATCCTGAAAACAAAATTTTTACTTTGATGTACTTTCAGAGGACAATAAACCTAATAACTTACTGCTTATAGTGATGTAATTATTCTCCCTTTTTTTGTCTCAGCCTTTGGAAGAATGTCTGACACATTATTGACAACCCTTTTCCTGTCATAAGTTAGCCAACTCCGTGATCAATGATCCTATGCATTTTCATGGTTCTTTGTCTGATTCTGAGGAAATACACCCTAATAGGTGGATGAAATTGTTTGTCTTTACTTCTGAATGTGGCAGGGAACTAATAGAATTATTCTCTTGGCTGTGAGAAAGGCACTTCCTGCTAGAATAGAACATTGCTTATTAAGAGTATGACTCATCATGATGCACTTTTACTGAAATACCGCCAAACAACACAGACGTATCAAACTACGTTAAGCTGTTGCCTTGGCAAACCAGATTGAGACGTGCTAGGATTAATACTTTTCCCAAGCCTCTTATGCTTTAATATCCTGTTTCTTAGTAAAGTGGCAACTGATATTTTTTACCCAATTATTTGAGAGAAGAGGGGGACTTTTTATAAGTCTGTGGTATGTGGTCGGGCTAGGAAAGAAAGAACATCTCTTGACCTCTGAATCACAGCTGGAAGTTTCTTAAACTGAACTGTTTAATTTTTTAAACTAAACTGTCTGACTTTGCACTGAAGCAAATTCAGAATTCTCACCTGATCCCTTAAGGTGGCTCACCCTAAGGTGCCTCTGCACTGACAAAGCAGTCATGGGAGAGCTGATGTGTGCTGGTAACTTCTTAAGTCTCTCCAGCTGTGCCAGAATGTCATGGGAGTCACAGCCTTAATGTTCATGACCTAACCTGCAGACCTTGTGACTGTTGTGACATACCCAGGGCCAGCCTGTTTGCTGAGAATACCTGTGATCCCTACAGACATTCCCACAAACATCAGATTCATTGCATCTTTCTCTACTGCCCATGTCCCTGTCAAGCACATTTAACCACCTCTTACATGAACTGTATCACCAGTAGATATATGTTTAGAGTGTTTGGGGTGGGTTGGGGTTTGACATGCTTGTTATTCCAAACATTTTTAATGCTTTTCCCGAATGGCGCAGCTCTGAGTATGCAAAATAAGAGCTAGAGTCAGCATAAGTGGATTTAGGTAGGCGATATCAAACTAGAGGAAACGGATTTTTAGCAGTAAGTTGCATAACTCAGTGCAACAGGTTTTACCCATTCTAAACCCATTTTCTCCTTCCTTCTTCCCCTTCAGCATCCAGATGGATGAGGAAAAATAAGTATCATAATCATACAAGTACAGTACAGCAACTGGACAGGTTTCACATGTCATTTTTCCTGTGTCATTTTGGACAGCTTCTAGCATGCCAGCCCCTGAAAGGGGTACTACTTAATTCTGATGAGAGTAGAGGACAGGAGAGTGCTATGTTTATTCTTTCACGTAGCTTTGTAGAACTCAAGAGGACAGTAAACATACCGATTATTTGCATGGGTGGTTCCACATCTGTTGTGGCTTCTTCCAACAATGACAGCAGTTTGGCTGATAGTTGATGGACCAATTCAATGTTGCTAAACAAGCCATCCACGTCAAAGCGAGCAATCTAATGGAATACAAATATTAAGCAGCTACTGACAAAAGATAAAGAAGGACGTTGTGTATTACACAGCTTCTCTTGCTGTGCCCTGAGTGTTCAGCACTCCAGGAAGCACCACTTCTGCAAAACCTCATATAAACATCCTCCTTGTGACTTCAAGGACACATACACCATTTTCACATAAGTATAATATGGCCAATGCAGTTAACAAAGGGTATGTTATCAAGTGTTTTTAACCTTATTTTGAACTAATCTGAAACTGTTTACTTAGAAAGAAATAAATATTATCATCTGAATAAAGAAAAGATCCTTAGCTGGCTTTAAAACATTTGTTTACCTTCTCATTGGAGAAAACAATAGTTGACAGTGGGTTTGATTCCCTGATTACCACTCACTATCAGAGGCCACTACAAAAAGTGAGAGCTCAGCACTGTGGTGTCAGCTACCAGGTACAAAGACTTCTAGATAGTTGGTGCCATTTTAAGTTAGTTGTCCTATAAATCTAAAGTCAAGATCATATAATTTCCACTAAAACAAACACATTTACAGTTCTGGACATTTATACAACCTAAAGAACCTCTTACAGAGCCTGGGCACACAACATGGATTTCAGTGAATTGTATCAATCTCTGCCAACAGAAAATTTGGTTCTGTGTGCCTACTCATTTTAGAAGAAGTAAAAGATTTCCAGGACACATACTTTTCACTGCACAGCAGGGCAATAGTTACTATTTGGGGACCACTGGACATAACCAGTTCTCATACTGAGAACAAAGATAAGACCAATTTTGTCCCCCATATTGATGCTCTCTGAACCTACCACTCCATTTGGAAGAGAATTGCTGATTTACATAGCAGCTTACCAGATGCCAGGAGGATCATATTGCATGCTATTGTAACAAAATCAGAAATATGCTTTCAGTACTGATGCAGTTAATTTCTTTATAAGCATTATAGGGGCTAAAACATGTTTTATCCATTTGGAAATATGAAACAGATTCATTGCTAGGCCAATTTTCTAAACACATTACAAACTTTCAATATGGTAGTTTATTGGAGAGCTAGCATTAAAAACATATAACATTCCTGCAAGCCTTTCAAAAATGCAGAGGTTATTAAATTAAGACGGTTACCATCTCTAAATTACTTTTCCTGAATACATCTAGCGCAGGACTTCTGACCTCCTCCTTGGCATATCTACATAGTATTTGGAACTATGTTGTGCATGGACACTTCCACTCAGTGACAAAGGACAGAATCAAAAAGAATGTTTTCAGTTGGGTGAAAAAGAGTGAGAGAATATGGCACATTTGTCCAAAAATCTCTGCGAGTTCAACCAGGGAATACTCTTGCTTGGTGCTGGCCAGGCTGGGGAGAAAGTCAAGTGGAGACTACTTCAGAGTGGATGAACAAATGAGGGAGGAAGAAGAAGTCAAGAACTCCTTAAAATTATGTCAGCAGATGCCAGCTCTTCTGAAAATGGGTTGTAACCAACTCTGACAGAGTTTTAGGAAAGCACAAAGGTCCTGCGGGAGTTTTAACAGCAGGAGTTAAGAGGCACTGTCAATGTCTCCTAAAGACACTTTGGCCTCTGCACCTGTATTTTGGCACCAGTTTAATAAAAAACCCTACATAAGGAATATGTGGGTTAAGGTCTGTTTAAGATTATTTTTATTCTATTTTTTGCAGCAGATGTCATTTGTGCAGCCTCTGTGAATGCTATGTCTCAGGCCCCAAAAACACAAATCTTTCTCTGGACAATCTCCTCTATTCCCAGCACCATTTTTCTACAAATTGAAATACTGTTGAGGAAAAGATGCTCTTTGAAGTCTCAGCTGAAAAAGAAAATAGGTATCATTGGCCTAACAAGATCTTTCCCATGAAAGGTAGTTTATGAGCCTTCTTTCTTAAATGTACTTCTTTTGTGTGGAATACAAATTTCCCAAGCCCTCACTGGCCTGTCAAGAATGGTATTTATCCACCACAGCTGTCTGGAAGGATGGATAAAGTTATCTTAACAATTGAATTTAACCTTGATGCAGAGGTTCATGCCATTCCAGTCTCTACTGTGGGAAAAAAACTCGTTTTGGAGGTACTGGTAAATATCTGCCATGGCACTTAACAAGGGTTATAACTACAGAGCAGAAGGGAACTGGAAGCTTCTACAGCAGCCCAGAGGCAGGGATGTAATAACCAAGCTGACCTCTGGACAAGTACTTGATGCAGGCTTTACGAAGTGCAGCACAAGTGGTCAGGAACATATCTGACCTTCCCCTCTCCTCACCAGAGCTCTGACACATCACCTCCCAGAGCGCTGGCTCCAGACCTGCTCCCAGCACCACGTTATTCTCGTGCTGACATCTGTGCTTGCATGGAGATTGTCCACAAGCAGAACGTGGCTGAGCTGAGACCTTGGCATCACCATCACATCCTCTGCCCCTGGCACTCACCTGCATGTTTCTCAGGGGCTGAATCACTTCCTTGATGCAGAGATCTAGGTCGCTGATATAGTCTTTCTCCGTCTGCAACAGTTCTGCAATGATTTTCACCCTCTTGGCCATCATGCGTCTGCTGACTTCCTCATCCTCCTGCAGCGGGGTGGCAGGGGTTAAGGACACCAACTGTGGAGCCATCTTTTCTGTTTAAAAGAAGGAGAGATTGGTGAGGAGCATCATAATTCCACATACTCACCCAGCTTGCCCTGCATGACCGTGGGTGGTGGACAAATGGCCATGGTAAGAATGAAAAGAAGCATAAGAAATGGCAAACCCGAATCAGACTGAGTGTCATCCCATCTCCTTCTTCTAAAAGTGAATATGGGTATGCCAAAACAGCTCATCCATTTGGCATTAAGGGGATAACCCATCACTGGCTCCCCGGGCTTAGATGTTATGCATCAGGCAGAAATTTTCTATGGAGCACGGGAGAGTCTGATTCTTGACACACTGAAATTCAAGGATAGCTGATGCCCTTCCACTCCTTTGAAAACACAGTCGTGGTCTGACATCTATTATTATTTGGAGGATGGAAAAAAAATATGCTCCTGTGAAAGAAGAAGGCTGTTTACCATAAAAAAAGCTTCACAATAATAACCTTTGTTCTGTACAATGGAACGTTGAGTTATTCATGGGAAATAGAGGACTGCAAGTACTGCATGACAAACTTTCAAGTGAAGACAATGTTACTAACAATGATGATGAATCCTCCAGCTCTGTTTAAAAATAATTTTTTTGAAAGAGACAAAGGAATTCAAGGACAATATGGGAAAACCTTTAACAATCAATAACTGTTTCTTGGAACAACAGAGATCATTTGGATTAGGATATTCTTCACTGTTTTTCAGTACTTAACACCTAGGATATCTGATTTGTTTCAAATACATGAAAATGCAAGAGACTCTTCTACAGATGGGTAATTTATGTACATCACAGGACCTGCACACAACCTACTGATCTGTAATGATGGTCTTCCCACTTACTTCAATGGTCTGTAAGCCAGCCTACAGAGACCCATGCCAGCTGTAAAAAGGGCACTGAATTTTATCTGTGTACACTGACAATTTGTATTTTTCATTAAGAAACACACACACAAAACCCAAAAACAAAAACCAAAAAACAAACAAACAAACCCAACAAAAAACCCAACAAACAAGTCAAATATTTCAGAGGTTATTCTGGTGTTTTTCTGCTAGCCACAAGATGGTGCAGAGTACCAACAAAGATGGACATATCATTAGCATGCTCAAGTCTGCATCATTCAGGCTGAGCTTTGACAGCACTGGCTTTTATTGCTCAGCAGCAAAGGATGGGAACCTCTGCTGATGATCAGACTGCTGCACCTTCATGTCAGCTTCTTGTAGGGACTGAAGGAGGTAATAACAGGCAGTATCAGGTGCTTCTCTCACAAATTATATTGCAGTTATTTGAATAGATTGTTAAGGGTAAAGTGACAAGCACTCCAGTGAGCATCAAACAGCGAAACTCACCCGTACAATACCAGCCAAGGCTGTGGTGGATAACCCACAGCTGGACTTGTGGGAGCCAAGCAGCATTCAGGAGAGAGGGCTTTGAGCCATCTTTCAACAAGTGTAAAATACAAGAAATCCAATGTATCATCTTTGCACACCTCTTCTACAGTTATGCTCACCACTGTTATTCAGAAAGGACAGGTTTGTTATTAATGATTCTCCAACCAGGTTTACAAGTGAGACTGATGTGGCCACAGATAGTTTTAAATAGCTGCTTTTGGGACTGCACCTCTGTCCCTACACCACTAGTTTTAAACAGTGAGGACATAGAACATAAACAGACCTGAGTGAGGAGATGGAAGGCAGAGGAGTAGGGGAGCTGTTTTCTCAAACTTTTTTGTATTTAGATACACTTTTCAGCTTCAAGTTAGATACATTTTAGCCTTAAACTCTGTGTATAACACAGGCATGAACATTTTGTCCTCAAGTTTGTACAGAGACAATAAAAGGGGAACATAAAGAGGATGTGAAAACCCTCTGCAAGGCTGTGGCTATCTAAAGAATTTTAGGCTTAACCTTGCCCTGGTGAGTTTGTGCTTGCTAGGGTGCATGAACTGCACAAGAGCTTGCACTGCTGCAGATGTTATCCACCAAAGGTGTTGTGTGCTGGATATTACAGACTCTGCCCTTTAGCAAGGAGAACAAAACTGGTACCAGTATCACTTCACAGCTCCCTCAGAGAAATTTCCTGCTAGGGTTGCAGAATGGGACCACCTTGCCCACTGCTAACATGCTAAACCAGCAGGTACTTTTTCTTCTAAAAGCTTACAGTATGTAACCACATTTATAAATTCACAAGGAACCACATGAACAATCCATTTCTATTCCAGTTTTGTACAAATATCAGAATTTTCTTGAGACTGGGTGTGAAAATGTTTGCATGCATGTAACTGTGTGTGAAGGATTCAGGGCAGCTCCTGAGAAAGCACAGAGAGGAAGATCTCAGAAGTGTAGTTTTGTCTCAGACACAGATGTTATGATATCAGACAGAATTTTAAGGTAAACACAAGATAATGTACAAAAGAATTTTCTAGTTTTTTATACTGGTGGCAGGGGAGGCCATTATATGAGCCATATATAAAATAAATAAAATAAGTTAATAAAAATATTGTGAAAATAATAATAAAATAAATAAAAATAAAATAATAAAAATAATATTAAAAATAAGTGAATAAAAATATGAATAATAAAATAAGTGAAACAAAGCCCCTGTATTTCACTTCAGGCTGGAAGTCACAATCCCTTGAGAGGCTGTTCTTTCAGTTTGTGTCATTAGATAGCTCTGATCAAATTTGATTCTTGAATTATGTCAGGGTTCATCTATTATCATTACTGCATGATAGATAATAATGCCAGGAAAGAAAAACTATTCTCAACAGGAAGAAATAATCAAGAGAAATATCAGTTAGATGCTGTTTCCTCATAGAAAGTATGTTTTTTAATAAATGTTTCCTTTTGTTAAGTGTAACATAATTTTCCATTTCCACTCAATATGTTCACTTTTTCATTTCAGGCATATCTGTCTCTATAGAACACAACAGCAAGATGTTTAAGTGATGATTACAGCCAAAATGTATGATTTCATGTTCAGCTGACTGCTTTTGACCAGTTTGAGAACATTAGCAGTTTGCTGAAATCCTTGTGGAATAAGTGCAAGTTTAATGAATGCACAAACAGTGAGTGCATACCTGGAATATAATCAGACTCATTTCTACCTGGTAATGTGTACCAGCCCTGGAACAGTTGAAGAGAGGATTAGCAGGAAAAGACATCACTGAGGATTAACTGCTACAGTAAGAATTTGACTCATTCGTCCTCAGTGATACCAGGCAGAGAAAAATGAAAAAATAATCTGTTAAGTAGTCTATTAAACTATTGCATCTTAAGCCCAGTTTACAAAAAACTAACTGGTACTTCTACTAGATGTAAGAGTAAAGAGCATAAAGCAATGTTTGTAATTAACACTTTTGTCATGTCAGCTATCTGCAGGAGTTGCCTTTCAGGAAGACATTCCTTTGGAGATGACTTGGGTTTTTCAACTGTGTATTTAAATACATGGCTCCAGTTGCATGAAACAAGAGGTTCATTATGTGAAGACAAGGACAAAGAAGCCACATGTCTTACAAAAAGTTTCTTGCAAGTGTGAAGTCTAAAGATGTCCCCCAGATGGAGACATCCCACAATGTGGTGAGAGCATGGAGGAACAGAGCTTGCAATGTGCAAATGCAGCAGCTCTCTTCTAGGTCACGGGGAGGTACTGGGGAGCTGCTCCAATCTCCTTAAAGGGAGGAGAGGCAGGTTTGCCTCAATCCGCAACTGTAGAAAGGAACCAGGTTCTAAACACACTTGAAAGCGAGATTTAAAAGACAATCAAAGTTAAATGTTGGGATCCAAAGCGATAATGCAACTTTATTTTTCATAAAAGAGGAAAGAAAGAGAGAAAATCAGAAAAGTAGGAAAATGCCAGAATAATTACAAGAAGCACAGGAAAGGGGTTACCACCACCATGGTTCCAGCGCTGGCGTATGGAGAGCAATGGGGGAGATCCGTGCGGGTGCAATGGGTCTTTCTCTGGTGAAGTCTCTCCGAGAGCAGCCCAGTGACCCAGCGAGGGAGCAGGGCCACAGCAGCAGGACCAGAGCGGGACAGGGAGCACAGGTAGCCCCATTGGAGCAGCCAGGACAGCAAAGGACAGCACAAATGGCAAAGATTCCAGCACTGTGTAGATTTTTGCAGCGCAGCCCCCCTGTGATAGCTTAGCCACTTGCCTTTAGAGGGGTTTGAGGGTGGCAATCGTCATACCCAGTTCACAAAGTTCATTGGCTGGCTCCTTGGTGTATCAAAAAGTTTGCTGCTTGCTCACGTAATGTATCAAAAGTTTGCGGCTCAGTCCTCTGGTGTATCAAAGTTGGCTGCTTGCTTATTGTATCAACTACAAGCTCTATTAACAACTTTCAACAGGATGCCTCATTTTCTAAAATAAAAACCTCCTAAAGTTTTTGTTAAAGATAACTTAATACTTTAATTTTCAAACCTTAATATTCAAAGAGGAAATGGAGAGACATTCCTTGCATTTTACTCGTTCACTACAGGGACCCACAGCAAGTGACCAGAGGAGAAGCCATAGAAGACCTGCAACATCTCTGTGCATAAATCTCCCTGGTTTTTATGCCGAGAGAATGAGCAGCTCCAAAAGATCTGTTCTAGCCATCCTTCCTCCCAGGTAAGATGCTCTGATTGGATATTATATTTGCTCTTGTGTGGGGACCCAGATCTCTCCCCGTCCAGCGCTTCCCATGTGGAACCAAAGGTACTGGCACAGAATACAACAACAAGTACAGTGATGCTGGTGCGTGGAGTGAGTTACAGACCTTTTCATTACCTGCACAGCCTTTGCAAGATTCCAAAGGAACAAGAGTTCTGTGCTTGCACTGTGCAGATACAAGGATTTTGCCTGTCACAAGGGACTGGTGAAGACATAAGTTATCAAGGCATAACAAACAAATTACAGAATTACTGTGTTTTCACGTGTGAAACATGAGTCTCGTATCACTCTGGATGAATTATTCCTCTGTGAAAACGAGTCCTCAGATAGCCTGTGCCCTCAGATA